CAGTACCTGGTACTTTTTTTAGTACCACCTCGGTTGGGGTTCCAAGTGAACCGTACCGTTACCAAAACGTGACGTGTAAACTCTGCTGATCACGGATTGGCCGGAGAAAATCGTCACTACCTGCGTCACTAAACTTGCGACACAAACACAAGTTTGAACGAGCGCACCTTTTTTTAACAACCAAAAAGTTTCGTTGTCTGTTGAGGAAGTACAGACGTTCCTCTCGTTGATAGCAGAGGATCGGATCCAGCGAGAGCTTGAAGGGGCGACGCGGAATGAAAATGTTTTTTTTAGGAGTCGTGGTAGTAGAGGCGGCGCAACTATAATGACATAAATTAATTATTATTAAGTGAATAATCCCGCCCACTCTAAAGCGGTACTGAACTGCAGTGGAAACGCAAACCGAGCCGAGCCGTGCCGTGCCGTACTGAGCCGAGTCGTACCACGCAGTGGAAAAGCGCCAATAGACCCTACTCTGAAGTAGGAGCTAATTTAGTTCCCCCAAACAGAGTTCCTAGAACTTCCTAGTTTCTGTGGTCCAAACAATCCAAAAAGCGGGTAATTCCACAGATAGTTCTAGTGTATGGGACATGTCATTTTCTTATAGTTAGTCCACAAGTTTTTTCTTGTTGCACTGGCTTACTCACGACTCCGGAGTCAATGAAGTTCTTTTTGTTTCTTCATTTATTTTTAACATCAAACATTTAACACTTCCTTCAGTCTTCTTACATAAATGTATTTGGGTTACAACAACTTATTTGTTGTATATTGATGAACTTTAATTCCAGTTACGATTATTTTCGATCACAGACAACAGCTTGTGTTCTCCAAAACTTGCGCAGCTTAACAACTTCTCATGTGCATCAATAACCATGCATGTGAACTACAAAATGACATCACTAGACATGCGTAGTAAAACAACTAATATGAACTGAAAAATATATACAACATAATATAAAAAGTGAAAAGTGACGTGTGGCCAAGTATGGTGTCCCATACTCTGAATTTGTGCTCTGCATTTCACCCATCCAAGTGCACACAAAACCTGGAGCAGTGGGCAGCCAATGCTGCGGCACCCAGGGAGCAGTTGGGGGTTCGGTTCTTGCTCAAGGGTCTCACCTCAGTCATGGTATTGAAAGTGTAAGAGAGCGCTGTACATTCACTCCCCCCACCTACAATCCCTCTAGGTACCAAGACTCAAACCCATGACCTTTGGGTTATAAGTCTGACTCTCTAACCATTAGGCCATGACAGCCCAATTATCAAGTAATAATGTCATACTAAACGTGTGTGTGAATGATGCATATCTACAATAATGTGTGTTTATAGTGTGGATCATGGAAGAGAGATCATGATGACAGCAGGACTACGAA